AGAGAGGGGCAGAGAGGGGCAGAGAGGGGCAGAGAGGGGCAGAGAGGCAGAGGCAGGATAATCATGAGTTTGAGGAGTCTGAGCTATTTGACTCTTCCTCTCCCCACCTCACATATTCCTCCAAAAGGCTGTGAGGTTGGTTTCCTGGCTGGTGCTTGATGCTTTATTTTACAGTGAATTTAGCTCTGTAAAGCATTTTAGCTCAAAGTAGATGAATAAGACTCCCCTAAAGCTAAGGGATGAAAAAAGATTCTCTCTCTCAGAAGTTAAATTATTATATGTCAAAACTGCAGTAGGTATAGGTTAATGAAGCATACTGAGTTTTATGGTCATAAGTAGTGGAGGGTCAAGACTGGCATGTCATTGTCACTGCAGAACCAGCAAACATTATTTCTAAGGTGCTGGAGAAGAAGCCTGGCTAGTGTGATAGTCTCCCACTGAACTGTATTTGCAGTCCCCAGGAGATTTCCAAAGAGTTCAACCAACCAGGGATTACAAATATTTGGGAAGACAAAGCACAAGTACTAAACATGTACACTTTTTTATTGTCATGAATAGCAAAGGAATAAAGACGGGTTAAATGCAAAACAGACTACCACTTTATATAAATGATTAAGCACCTAGGACTTGAGTACTTGGCAGAGTCCTGGCAGATACATACCAAATACCACTGGCCAGTTACATTTAAATTATCAGTTCTAACCTCTTTCCTGGTTGTCCTGGAGCTTACTATGCAGACTAGTGGCCCAAGTTTTTGACACTCCTTTTTTCTCTCTCTCTCTCTCTCTCTCTCTCTCTCTCTCTCTCTCTCTCTCTCTCTCTCTCTCTCCCCTTCCCTTTCCCTCCCCTCCCTCTTTTCCTCTCTCCCCCTCTCTCTCCTTTCCCACCTTTTGTGGGATTATAGAAATGAACCAGTATGACTAGCTGAAACTGTCATTAAAATTCAATGGTCTCATTGAGCCTGTTTACTATTTAAAAAATATTTCCCTAAATTTCTTTAACATGTTGACCTTATTCTAACATTGAGTATACTCCCAAAATCTTGAACAGTTAAAAAATGTAGCAAAGAGCCGGGCGGTGGTGGCACACGCCTTTAATCCCAGCACTTGGGAGGCAGAGGCAGGCGGATTTCAGAGTTTGAGAGTTCGAGGCCAGCCTGGTCTACAGAGTGAGTTCCAGGACAGCCAGGGCTACACAGAGAAACTCTGTCTCAAAACAAACAAACAAACAAACAAACAAACAAACAAAAAACGTAGCAAAGAATACTCTAATTATTGGAGATATCATACGGTAATTTAGTGGATAGGAGAACCTATACTTAAATTTTCCTCAACGATCATTGACCCTATACTGCAGCTCTTTATATAAGAATTACTTCTCTGCGAGTCAACTGCTTTAAGACAAAGGTAACACCTTAACAAATTTTACCAAAGTTAGCAAAATGATAAAATTAATTTAAATATAAAAATGTTCTAAAAATCATCCATTATCATTAAATATATCATGCACCTCACAGGAAATGACCAAGAATTAACCCTTCAAATACACTTGGAAAACTCACAATCCAACTGTCCTTACATTTAAAACATGGATACTGTAAACATATAATTAAATATAAATGTTTATATGAATATAAACATTTAATATTTCAATTAGCCCATAAGACAAAGAACAATATAAAAATATCTTAATACAAATGTAACCAAGTTGCATATTAAATGTGTATCTGTCACACATCATAAGACATCTGAAGCATTAACAACAAGCTTTGAAATACACTGTGGTAGTTTGCTAGAGTGCATTTTTTTTCAATCAAGTCAATTTCTACATCACAGAAAATAAAGAATTTTTCTTACCAATAGCATTATACCATTGTTCTTCACTGGTCCTGACACATCAGCTTTCAAAAGCTGGCTCTTCATATAAATAAAACCATAAAGATCCACACAAATATTAGAATTTTATGACAAACATTGGTTCTGTTTAAATTGCTTTAAAATGATTATGATATTAAAATTTAGGAAGTTTAATTCAGCAAATTTAAATTGTTTTAGAAGATATACACTTCTGTTTCTTGATACTGAAAGAACTCCTATTTGAATAAATCCTATCCTGTTAGCATACACAAGTTCTGGCATACAGTGCATGCCTGAATCTTGATGTTATCTAAACAGCAAAGGGCTGGGCTATTGTCCTTAACCAAACCCTTCCTTGAATTTATAATGAAATGGATTTACTTCATCGAGAGAAAAAAATGCTGCAGGGGAGGAGAAAGTGAAGCTATCAGAAATAAAAGTCACCAAATCTGATTTAATGCTTACTCCACTCCCCCCAACATTCCATAATTATTAAGAACTATTGAAATTAGTCTTTAGTCTGATCCAGAAGTTGATCAGAGCTTATTTTTTAAAACAAGACAAACTGGCATCAATTTGCAGAGAACTCCCCAAACATCTTAGACATCTTTGCTCTCCATGAGCAAAATACTTAATAGTTTATCTGAACCAAATGTGTTGTATTTATCTGTAATCTCAGCATTCAGGTAGAATAATGAGTTCAAGGTCAGTCTGAAAGCTATCTCAAAATGAAATGAAAAATTTTAAACCTGCCTGGAATTCCCAAAGGATTAATTTTACAAGTGCTTTACAGAGTCATCATCAACTTAAGTAAAACTTTAAACACAGCAATTTTAAGTATTATATTTTGTTTTCTTCTGTGAAGACTCCCATGTAGCCCAGGCTGGTCCTACACTTCCTATGTAGCTGTTTCTGATCTCCACATAAGTGTCATGACATGTATATGCTTGCCTCCCCCAGTGACATATACACACAGATCAAAAATTTTAAATAAACATTTAACTCTCCTTATTTTGAGATAAGGTCTCTCTATATAGCTTTTTTGTTGTTGTTGTTTTTTGAGACAGGGTTTCTCAGTGTAGCCCTGGCTGTCCTCGAACTCAGAAATCCGCCTGCCTCTGCCTCCCAAGTGCTGGGACTAAAGGCATGCACCACCATTGCCTGGCCCTCCATATAGCTTAATAAGCTGGTCCTAACCTCTTGCCTTAACTTTCCAAGTACTGAGATTACAAGCAAAATTACAGTAAAATTCAAAAAACACAGAAAAGGATGTTTCAACTAACACCACAACTGGCATAGATTTTCAAATTTACAACACCCACAGCAAATCCACAATTCAAAATTTATATGCCCTGGTTCTAACCCAATGCAACGAACAATTTTTATCTTACTTCTTACTATCCATA